AATAATGAATATGAATTCCAGCAAAATGTTTTCAATTTGAATCTCAATTTGACACTTTGCTAATTGTTCTTTCAGTGAAGGATTACCATGCCTCTCCCATTTTGTTTCTGATTTGAAATATGAAATTCTTCTGAAGCAGAGTAGACAACATGTCAATCCCAAAGATGCACCCAAAGAGTTCAGGTGCACTTTGTGGGTGGAGGATTGGCAGATAGAATACCACCACCAGAATCCTTCCGCCAGAGGAGCTAATCTGCTGAAAGTAAAACGGACTTCTGTAGAGACAGATAAACACCTCACACTTGTTTTTAAACATGCAATTTATACCATTATAAAACTGAAAACTGAGAAGAATGGTTATAGCAGCTGTTGTTTCAAACTTAAAAGCAGTGGCAGTAATGAAAACATCATACCAATGTCTAGTCCAATAAAACTCTTGGTTTACTGTGTTTTGTGTGGGCAACCAAATAAAGTAAAAATAGGGAAAAAAGAGAAGATGCAGCATGTTGACCTAAACACATTGTAAATCTACTGAACTATTTTTGTAGAGCTAAGAAATTAATAGCAACTTAAAAAAAGACTTTAGGAATCCCAGGAAGTTCTATAGTTTGTTACTTTCAAAAAAAAAATAAGTACGTAAACCCATCACGAGCCGACTTTTAGGCTGAACAGCCAAGATACTGGATGTATTGTAGAATGAGAAATGGATCAAGATGATGGTATAAATTTTCAGTGGCATGCCCAAGTCATGAATGTAGGTAGAAAGCAATGCTGAATCTTATCAATTTATTTGGGCAGAAATGACACCTTCTAGATTAGAAAAATCTGTTTATTGATTTAAGCTTAATTTCATAGCTAGTAACACAAAATCAGACTGATCATAGAGCTCTCTGATGTATTCTGAATGTAAGCCTGAGGACTCTATCACTATTTTACAGAAATATATTTCATCTCTACAATGGAGTGTCTGCAAAATACCAAAAGACTAAAACACTGTAAGACAGACTTAAATTTTTACCCTTAAATAGGGATGGTTATTTTAAAAGATGGACCTTTAAGATACCTGAATACCAACATTCACGTCTAAAGGAGACAAAGCACTGTGGTATTTGCAAATGTGAAATAAGCAGTCATGAATACACTTTTGGTAACCAAGTTGCTTCATTACTATCAACACATTTTTCTTATTAGTATTGGTAAAGAAATAGTAGTAGGAGTAAAATATCCTTTTATGCTAAAGCTATGTGTAAACTTACTTATACAAATTGCTCTTCCATTACTTTGCATATTCCATAAAGAAATTATTGTAGACCTTTAACTTTGTTCTACCCTTTTCCTTCCATAACCTTCTGTTAACATACAATCAGCCAGGTGCCTTCCTGCATTAAATTATGGAGTGATAGGCAGTCTTCAGGCTTAGCTTAGTTAATATTACCTAGTCTTAAAAATTTGACTGAGGCTTGATGTAGGCTTAATTTTATAACTGCACCTAATATTTCACTTATACTTGTGAATAATATAATTCTTTGACTAGTTACTCAGAATATCCATTATGAGAACTTTAAAGACATATTGAGAAAACCCCTAAAACAACATAGAATACATTTTGTACTTATTTATTTATTTATTTATTTGTTTGTTTTAGAGAGAGTGTTTGAGCAGGAGGGCCTGAGGTTGGGCTCGATCACATGATCTGGAGATCATGACCTGAGCTGAAGTCAAGAGTCTGCCACTTGACCAACTGAACCACCCAGGTATCCCTACATTTTGTGCTTTTTATCTACTAGTCTTATGGTCCATTTTTACTAATAATGGCATTACTGATTACAAAGGAACTAAGAATAACAGTCCACAGTATTCTCCAGGACTTATAAAAGAAATCATATGGGAAAATCATCTCCCAATGCATTGTACTTTGTATACCATGCATGTCAATACTAAACATCACCTTTTACACCCTAACACTGCTCTAGCCCCTTTCCGACTGGAACATGCAAACCTTATGACCTTATATTCTCAATACATTAATGATCTATTGAACTAAGTTTTAACCCTTATAAAGTCAATATACTTTTTTTAATTTATAGAAATGCAAATGTTGTCTAGGATAGCACTGTCCAAAAGCAATTTCTGTGATGGAAATGTTCTGTATCTACACTGACTAACTAATAGGGTAGCCACTAATAGGGTAGCCACTAACCACTGAGTCCTTCAAATGTGGCTTGTGGGACTAAAGGAACTGAATTTTTAATTGTATTTAATTCTAAGTAATTTATTTATTTTATTTTAATTTTTTTTAAAGATTTTATTTATTGGGCGCCTGGGTGGCTCAGTTGGTTAGGCGATTGCCTTCAGCTCAGGTCATGATCCTAGAGTCCCGGGATCGAGTCCCGCATCGGGCTCCCTGCTCAGCAGGGAGTCTGCTTCTCCCTCTGACCCTCCCCCATCTCATGTGCTCTCTCTCTCTCTCTCATTCTCTCTCTCAAATAAATAAAATCTTAAAAAAAAGGTTTTATTTATTTATTTGACAGAGAGAGACACAGTGAGAGAGAGAACACAAGCAGGGGGAGTGGGAGAAGGAGAGACAGGCCTCCTGCTGAGCAGGGAGCCCGAGTCGGGGCTCAATGTGGGCTCGATGTGGGGCTCTATCCCAGGACCCTTGGGATCATGACCTGAGCTGAAGGCAGACGCTTAACGACTGAGCCACCCAGGCGCCCCTAATTCTAAGTAATTTAAATAGCCACATGTATTGGATTAGTACTGGTCTAGTAGACCCTTGAAACGGATGAGTGGTAGAACTGGAAAGTACATTGTGGGCAATCAAAAAAATCTTAAAATTATCAGCATTATGTTTTAAAAACTCTGTCATTCATTCCTTCAGTATGAATTTATCCAGAAGTTTAACATAAAAAAAAAAGAAACCCAAAGCAACCAAATTCTTTAGGTTGCTTTTCTGTATGAATCATCTTTTTGCAAAGAGGTGTAAGACTGATTTTATTGCCAACTCTGCCCCCTCTTCTACAGACAGAACTCAGTGATTAGGTTTCTTGCATTTATTTAGGTTATTCTCCTAAAAAACATGGTTTCCATACTGCAAATAAATGACAGGAACTTTTCCACTAAATTATCCCAGACAGCACAAATGTTCTTTCCAAAACTGGAGACTGGAACCACAGCCCCCTCACATTGCCTGCTACATCTGTTTATGCTTATAGAAGTGACATCCACTTTGTAGACAGAGAATGCCAATTTCTTGGGAAAGCACCCAGAATTTGGTGAGCTTGAAGAAAAAACGTCACCGTTCAAAATAAATGACACTTAGAATTGAGTAGCTACAAAGGCCTTTTGAAATGAAGTGAGCAGAGATTTTGCTCCTAGAGTATAGATTCTGTATACAGACTTGCTGGAGTTCATATCCAGCTACAATCATTTACTAGTTGATAACGCTACAGGTAAGTTACAAAACCTAAACCTCAGTTTTCCCATCTGGGAAATGCAGATAATAATAGTTCTGTTGGGAAAACTTGTTTAAGACTTTGAAATGGGCAAATATCACTGGGTGTCCTTTCAGTGGAAGGCTGGATGTTACCTACAGGACTCTGGTTTTTTTTTGTTCTACAGGAGTCTGCACCTTGACCTTTGACAAGGCCATTTTACTATTTCATAGGCTGTAGAAATTAACAGTAATGTAAATGTTCTTATCTATAGAAATGCAAAATTACTTTGTTTTTTAGATACCATTCCTTACTTTCCTGTAGAACAGATAATTCAAAACATTTCATTTTTGCGCCTTATAGAATATTAACCAGTTTTGCCTCCTTACTGATTGTCCATAAAGTCTGCTTTTCACATCCTTGTTGGAATGGGTTGTAACATTTTGCGATTCGCTCCCTAATTAATGAGTCAAATGATATTTGACACATTTTTATTTTTATTTCTATGAGAGTTATGGTTTTCGCTTCTTGAAAAATTATCCTTTAGTCATTTATGGAGTCTTTGGGAGGATTGGTTTAAAGGTCCACACTGACTGTCATGATCAGTTTTATATTTTGCCGCAAGGCTGTAACACTTCTGGTGTCTTTTTGGGGAGGGGAGCAAGGGGGATTGAGCAATGATAAAAGCGGGAGGGTGGGGGGTCTGAAAAACTCCATCTCGACGCGAAAGTCAGAAGACCTCCTCATCCTTTTCCTTTTAACAGTGGAGACTTGAGGTCAAGGTGGGTGTTAGGCGGGGCACAGTGGCCTGTGTGTTGGCCTTCCGGGCCTGGAGAGTGGCCTGGGGTTTTAGATGCCCTCGGGTCATGAAGTTCACTGCAGACTTTGAGGGGGCCCAGCAGTGAGCCGACCGATATCCCAGTTTCCGCCGAACCAACCCCCGGAGCAGCAAGGCGGCCGGGGCCCAGAAGGGCAGGCCTTGCCCCAGGCCGGGGAGGCCCCTTGCCCACGGCCGAGGGGGTGGGGCGGCCTCGCCTCGGGCCGGTGCTTTTCGCCCTCCGTTGGCCGCCAGAGGCTCCCTCTCTCTCTCCCTCTCCTGGGATTTTGCTGCCGGGCTCCCTCTCTCTGCGGCCCTAGAGTTAATCCCATCAGCCGAGGTGAGGCACCTGTTACCCTGGGCCTTCCTCACCCCCGCGGCCTCTCCCCGCACTACACCCCGGCTCCCGGGCGGCCCAACCGGCCCGGCGCGGGTAACGGCACGTGGGCCAAGCCCCTTCCGCGCCGGGACCCCCCGCCCCAGGCCGGCCCGCGTGTGCGAGCGTGTCGCGGCCCGGGCCGCCGTCCGCCCGCAATGGCGTTGGGCAGCGCCGCGCGCCTCCCGGGGCCGCCCGCCGCGGGCTGGGCGCGCGTGGGGGCCGCGGCGCGAGTGGAAGCGGCCGCCGCAGCCGCCCTCCGCGCTGCGCCGTGAGCGGCGGGTGGAGGGGCGCCGAGCCGGCCGGCGCGGAGAGAGCCGCGGCCACCGTGGGGCGGGAGGCGCCTCTGAGGAAGGGGGGGTGGGAGCCGCGGCCGCCCGACCCTCCCCGCTGGCGGCGGCTCCCGCTCGGGTAAGGGGGAGGCTGTGCGCGGGGCGAGGAGTTGGGGAGGGTGGAGATGAAGAGGAAAAAAATCGGGACGTACAAAGGCTGAGTTGCAGGCTGGGGGTGGGGGTGGGTTGTGGTTGGGGAGCGATAGGGTGAGGATCGGAGGCATTATCAGTGGGATCTATTGTTTCCTGGCACGTTGGGAGGAAAAACAAAGGGATTTATTATCATTACCCTGTAATTTTTTTTTTCTTTTTCTTTTTTTTAATGTGGCCAGGGAGCTCGGCTTTCCCCGTGCTACACGGGGAACCGCCTGGCAGCCGCCGGGAGCCGCAGCCAATGTGTTAGGACTTCAGGTGCTTTTTGGCACAAAGCTAGACTGCGACCTCCTACCATAGCGCTTGGCGTCACCTGCTCTCCCGGCCCTGCCCCGGGGCCGAGGGATTGCGTCCCGAACCAGGCTTGGGAACCGGCTGCCTCTCAAGTTGGTGTTATTTATGTTTGTCTTTTGTGAGGGCAGGTTTTGAGTCCCCCGGCGGCCCCATCTCCCCCGCCCCCGCCCCCCTCGGGTTCGAATTGGCCGGGGGAGGGAGTGGGGTGGCTATGTAGAGGGGGGAGGGGAGGGTGTGTAAGGCTTCAACAAATGTCAGGGGACAAGGAGATTGTCGATGCTTTACCAAAAAACAGGCACCACACTCTCAAGCCTTTCTTGTTTGTCTGCATGGGCCATGCATGCGTGCTGGGCCAGAAGCCGAGTTCGGAGGCGGTTTAAGTCAAAGTGTGTGCTTCCTCAGCTGATTGTGCGTGAGGGTGATATGGCTCGGCCTAATATTAAAAGACAAAACAAAGCAACAAAAAGCAAAATGAAAAATCTTTAGAACTACATTGTCTGCGCCTCAGCAGATCTTGAAGTATTTGATTACTGGTATAGGGATATAAAATCCAGCTGTGGGCTAGTGGAGACCAGCAAGCATGTATTGCGTTGCGTTTTGAGCTTGTAGTAAGTTAGAGGCAAGTGGGAGTAAACAAATCAGGACTATGAAAAGAGGTTTTATGTGATATTTGCTTTCTGATCGTCACGTTCTCCTGCATTTATTCCCATGATAATCTACATCTCACTCTATAATCCACTCTTAGGAGACTTCCAGGTATTGGATGTGAGTTCACTTAGAGTGAAACTTATTTTCATTTAAGAACTTTCTTCTGCTTGTTTTGGTCTGAAAAATGTACTAATGTTGCTTTGGGGATGCTGTAAATGAGAATATTGGACTAGAGAGAGTGAAATAAGCCTCTCTAGGCATCTTTTGGACTTTGGAAACATAGAATCCAAACTTTTAATTGTGCTTATACAGAAAGAATAAATTCTGCCTGATGTGGAGCATCCCAAATGAAATTCATTTTTTTCTGAACAGTTTGATGATGTCTTAAAGATCTGTGAACTGCTGTTTTCTTTGAAGGTCATTCACAAAAGCAACAGAAACTTAGGCTAACGAAGTGTACTTGTACTTATGTGTGACTTGTGTATTAGTGTGTGATTTCTCTAGGGATCTCCAAATTGTGTTTGAAACATTTTTGTTACCGAAGACCAATCAGAGGTATAATGTGGTTTTTAAATTCCCATTCCAATAAGGAATTTTTTTTTCTGTTTGACATATGGCAAAGCCACTTTGAAAAGTGTATTATTAATTGACGAAACTTAAGTTTCAAATAAGTAAATGAATTTAGAAATTCATTCTTTTCTATTACAGATGAACCTCTAGTCTTGCTTTGAAAAAGCCATTTTGTGTAACTCTTGACTGAATAATTTCCTAATACACCTGTTGGGAGGATCACTGATACAGTATGCCATTTGAGAGGTACTTTTTCTTGACCAAATACTGGTGATTAGAGAAGAGAGGTGTTTTGTTTTTGTTTTTTGTTTTTTTGTTTTTTGTTTTTTTTTTCCTGATCATTATGAACATTGGCTTTTCACCCCTGAAGTAAAAATGTTGAAAACCGAGTCTTCAGGTGAACGAACCACTCTCAGAAGTGCCTCTCCTCACAGGAATGCTTACAGAACTGAGTTCCAGGCACTGAAAAGTACCTTTGACAAACCCAAGGCAGATGGGGAACAAAAAACAAAAGAAGGTGAGGGCTCCCAGCAGAGCAGGGGGAGGAAATATGGCTCCAACGTCAACAGAATTAAAAATCTATTCATGCAGATGGGTATGGAACCCAGTGAAAATGCTGCAGTCATTGCCAAAACAAGGGGGAAAGGTGGACCTTCGTCTCCGCAGAGAAGAATGAGGCCCAAAGAATTTCTGGAAAAAACAGACGGCTCAGTTGTTAAGTTGGAGTCCTCCGTTTCAGAACGAATCAGTAGATTTGACACAATGTACGATGGCCCTTCATATTCTAAGTTCACAGAAACTCGGAAGATGTTTGAGAGAAGTGTGCATGAATCAGGACAAAACAACCGCTATTCCCCAAAGAAAGAGAAAGCTGGAGGGAGTGAACCTCAGGATGAATGGGGTGGCTCGAAGTCCAACAGAGGCAGTACCGATTCCTTGGACAGCCTTAGCTCCCGGACAGAGGCTGTCTCCCCAACTGTGAGTCAACTGAGTGCAGTATTTGAGAACACCGATTCCCCCAGTGCCATTGTTCCTGAGAAGGCAGAGAACAACGAATACTCCGTGACTGGGCATTACCCCCTGAATCTACCACCTGTTACTGTTACAAATCTTGACACCTTTGGTCACCTTAAGGATTCGAATTCTTGGGCTCCTCCAAGCAAACACGGTGATGATGCAGAGGATGCTCAGAAGGGTTATCCAACTCCAGTACCAGAAGTGGCTTTGAAAAGTACCTCTTTAGCCCCAATGCCCAGTGAAGAGACACAGCAGAGCAAGGACGCCGAGGACTCCACATCTAACCAAGAGACTCCTGTCGGGATTGACAGAGACGTTCCTGAAGAACCTTGTGCTGAAAATAAGGCAATGCCCGAGTCTGAAATCCCTTCACCACAAAATGAACCTTTGGAAGACGCCGAAGCTAATTTAGTTGGGAGTGAGGCAGCAATGCATCAGAAGAAAGACCTTGCAGGTGGTGATTTTACTTCTGCTGATGCTTCTGGATCCAGGTGTGGAAAGGAAGTACCTGAAGATTCAGGTCATTTTGAGAGTTCCCATGTTTACATGCACAGTGACTATAATGTATACAGGGTAAGATCCAGGTATAATTCAGACTGGGGAGAGACAGGCACTGAGCAGGATGAGCAGGAAGAGAGTGATGAAAACAATTACTATCAACCTGATATGGAATACTCGGAAATTGTTGGATTGCCAGAAGAAGAAGACATTCCAGCAAATAGGAAAATTAAGTTTAGTAGTGCTCCAATTAAGGTAAGTATGTTTTCTCAGTTTGTTTTTGAAGTTTTTTCTAAGTTTTGTTTGGTTTTGTTTTTTAGTATTTGGGCCTAAATGTATTTAGAATAGCTTTGACAACTATAAGGAATTCACGGTTGTTGATATACACATGTTGTCAAGTGATTTTAAAAGTTTGGGAGATGTCCACGTATTTCCTAATATGCTTTATGGTTGCTTAAACCAGTATTGACTAATAGTAAAGTTGAGGAAGTTTGGGGATTGTGAGATACATTCCAATGGACTGGAGTATGAATAATATGAACACTGAAAACCAGGAGTGTTAGTTTGAAATAGAATTACCTCTTTAACTAGTTTCACTAAAAGTCCCCATAAGTAATAAAATTTTCTGAATCTGGACACTCTAGGTTATGAGGCATAATGTACAGTGAGAGAGTTATGGTTGACCTTGAAATAATAGTCTTTATTTAATTGCTTAAAAAATCTGAATTATCTTTTCCTTAAGTGTAAGTGGATTGTGAGGAATGTAGGAACTTACTTTTTTTCTTTTTTGTACTGCTACTTAGTAGTGAAAGTTTGATTCATGGAAATATCTTAGCGGACTTAAATACTTTAATTGGAAAGCTGTGACTGTGAGTAGCTTTGGGTTCCGAATTTGTGATGTAGTCCTGAAATGAAATTTTATGAAAGGAAATTAAATTGATTTGTCATTCATGTCTGTGTTTTTACCTCTTAAAAGCTGGATAAATGCCATTTGAATTCAGATGCTCTATTCTAATGACTTCACTTAGTTAACATTTGGTGTAGAAGAAATAGCAGAATGTACATCAGTAGCGGGTGGTGAAACATTATTAGCTGATAATGGCGGGAGGGGCAGGAGGTGGTGGGTTGAGTAGCACAGTCTCCTGGAGTGCTTTTTCAAAGTGTACTTGCCCATCAGCCTCCGTCCTAAGGTCTGGCATGCCCTCCTAGGGGAATCTGAAGGGTTGTGGTGGTAGAATGTGTAGTTTGAAACCACTTTCTAGGGACTCCTAGCTTGTCCAGTGTGTATATATGATAGACTTGGAATTTGATATGGTATCTTTTAAAAGAATCTGAAATCACCGTCTGTTGTTATTTCCATCTTTTGAAACTTCCATATAAGGCTGTAAGAGAGATAATTTACAAAGCAAAGAGAAATTTGACTTTGCTTTAATTATGAAATACTAATTTGAAATAAAGTAATAATCTGTGAAATTATTTATAGGTGTTAGTAGGCAGACTTTCATTTCATTAGTGTAAGACAAAAGTTCTGCACCAGAATGGGCCATGCCAAGTTACACTACTATGTTTAAAAATAGCTAGAGATGTGAGTGTGGTTTCTGAGTAAGCTAAGTTTCTTTGCTATGTTTTCCCTCTTTCCTTTGTGAACCTCTTCCCTCTACTCTCCCCCCCCCCCCCGCCGCCCCATTCTTGGGCTCTGTCTTTAGAAGTGTCTTTTCTTCAGGCCTACCCAGAGAGCTCCTTAATTTCACCATGCATGTTCCCTTTCCAAGTGCTTTCCTTTGAACATCCTTTTTCTGCCCCTTAGGAAGAAAGCAATAAGATTAAATTGTTTCACATTGAGCAAGGCAGGAATCACTGAAATGAACTCTTCAAGGAGTTTGTTAAAACCAGTGACTAACTCCCTAATGGGGGAATAGCAGCTTACAAAAATTTATCAAGTAGAACACTACCCACTCAACCAAATGGGGCACCAGCCTTGTATTTGGGTCCCGTGCTGCACAAAATGTAATGCACGGTGATGGGTTTAATGCATTTTAAAGGATTTCTCATTGAAATATGGCTGTTCGTTGGTGAACAAACCAGGTTTGGGGTATGATATTCTGAAATTCAAGTGATTTTTTTCCTACCATTGCTTATAACAAAAAGCATTTTGCCTTTTAATTTTCATATAATAAACTATTTTATATAATAAAGAATGAAATAGAGTACATACATATAAGTTGTAACACATTTTATCAAGAACATAGATCAAGCATAAGGTTTGTGAAACAAAGATAATGCACCAGGTTTTATAGGCAGTTAACAGTACTAGTTGAAGTGGATTAAGTTTGCAAACAGAAGATTCATTCTTAGCCTGTGTAATGAATAAGACAATTACTCTTTCTTGTTGTTCTCATTGTTTAACATGTGAGTGGATTCACTTGGAAATTTGGAGAGCTACTTTTCTACTGGTGCTGGTGATGGTAGTGTTTAGATTATTCTCCAATTAAGATTTTTGCCTCAGAGGGTGGTAATAATGAAATTCAGCAAGTGTTTATTGAAAGCTTATCATGTGTCTGTGCTCATGCTGTTAGATGTAGAAGACACACAAATCTGTAATGTTACCTCTTTCTTAGGTGAGCTGATGAAGTCAGTTCTCCAACAGTTGGTATTTAAAACCCATGTAAAAAGTCTGAAAACCTGTGCTGAAAAGTCTAATGTCCTATGAGGACTGTAACTGTCCTTGGCTGTGCTAAATGCATGGATTGAATAGGATTTGATAGACCATTTGGAAGGGAATACGCTGAGCCATTCCCTATGTTATGTTTTCTTATTCTTTTTGTAAAGATTCACTTGTGGAATGGGAGATTATGATTTCCAACCTAAATCTTTTCTTTCGAAATTTAAACATATCCCTCTTTCAGCAACCATAGGTTACATACTCTTTATAGAAATGATCTTTAGAACTTTTATATTCTTTTCCTGATATTCTCTCATCTTATTCACTAGAGTAAATATTCTCAACATTTTTAGACTTTCATTTTACATCTTGTTTATGATCTTTGTGTGTGTGTGATCATTTCCTCAGTTTTTATTTCAGTTCTTCTATAGTTGTTTTAAATAGATACTTTCCTAAGATGTCTTAAATCTGGACCTAGAAAAGCATCAAAATGATAGCTGATCTTTCCTGTGTAGCATATTACTTATACATAATTGTTGGTGACATTTAGAAATGGATTGTTTCTTAGTGGATAGATTGATGTGTTTCACAGTGTTGTGGAAAATTAGACTGGGATTGATTAATAATGGAAAATATAAAATCCAAGTTTGAGACACGGAATGAGAGAGTGTTATGAACCAGGCTAATTAGAGATGTGGAATTACGCCTTCATTCTCAGGAGTTTCTCAAAACGAAGAGATTGAATTAATTAGATTTGCTTTAAATGAATCCAGGAGAGAAGGGGTGATATTTTTCATTATTGTTCTCTATTTATTCGGAACATTTACTGAGCCCTTACTATGTGTGGGGAACAGTGCAATATACAATAAAATGTAATAAATACATAAAATGACTGGAGCCGATCAGGTGAGCAACTTGCTAGGAGGTGGAGAGTGGATAGCCCATTAAGGATGCCTCTCAGGCTATTCTGCTGAACCGTTTTTGGATGCTCTTTCTAAGGTCCCTGCAACCTTTTTAAGGCAGTCATAACCCTTTCTCTGTTTCTGGGACCCTTATGTCCTTTGGACAGATGTTCTTGAAACTTAGCATAGAAGAAAAAGGGTATTTTCCTAATTCCCTTAGCAAGAAGGAGATTGCAGGGTTAATGTTAAGTTATGTTGTGCTGTATTTTTCTGAGTGTTTTCTCCAACTGTGTGGAGCTTTACAGAGCTGGGGTTCCAAGGAGAATCACCAAGGGCAGCAGTGCTTCTCTAAATCTTACATGATACTTGTTGAAAGTGGGTCTCTTAGCATTCTCTTTCTCTTTTGGGGCTCTGAGTTGGTACACAGGGCATATATGAGACCTTTTATTCGGGATGGTGTTCAGAGTATAGTTCTGAGATCCAAATTTCTGTCATTCTCTTTCTTCAGATAGTCTTGCTCAGTGCTCTTAAACTTTAGTATGCTCATGAATCACCTGGGGTCTTTAAAAATGCAGATTTCTGATTCAGTAGGTATTTTGGGGGAAATCACCTGGATGCAAAGGTTAGCCTCCAAGTACACCACTGGCTTTCCCACGGGTTATGGAATAGGCTCAGCAAATTAAATATTTGAATCACAGTATTTATCAAATCAGTTTAAACAGCCAGAAGCAAGAGGAAAGCCATGGGGAAAGTTAACACAGCTAAGGTGCAAAGGTTGGAAGGACCACACGACCTACGACCTGAGGCCCGGGTATGCAATATTCCTATGTCCCGACCTTCTCGCTTTCACATCACCCTTCCCATTGTGGGTGTGGTTATGAGGACCACAGTTGATTTTGAGCAAGGGCTCCAGATACTAATAATCCCCTCAGCTCATGATATCATGATATTTGCTCTACAGACGAGAGAGGGTACAAGTACACTTACACACAGCTGTAGCTTTGCCAGTTTCCCTGGGTTTTCTTTGTGTTTCTTGGGACAGGCACCTGCGGGTCTGGAATAAGACCAGGCTGGGTGTCCTCGGTGGGTGGCTGATACGGAGATGGCGTGTCTGGCAGTCCAGAGATGGCACGATGATGACTTGGTCATTCCTTCCTTTCCTTTCTACAAGTGAACCTCTTGTTTGTTCCATCATATTTTCTATTTTGGAATGTCTGACAGCTTACTAACTTACCTATTTTTAACATATCTTAAGAACTTGGCCTTCGTTTTAGAAGCTTATAAGCTCTTATTATCTGTATCTATTGAGCCTCGGAGTGTTGCCTTTACCTCCTAAGCTGTTAGGTTACTTACCATTAGTGACCATCACTTAATGAGTTTCATCCATCCCATTTGTTTTCTTGACCTTTATAACAGAATTTAATATTCTTCAGTCATAGAGCAAATTCACAAACAGTAGGTCTCAGGTGAGATCGTGCATTCCTAAAAAGATGTCAAGTGGGTGCTGAGGCTGCTGGTCAACAGGTCGCCGTTGGGAATATGATTGTGAAGTACAGTTTTCTCACTTCTGAAAGGAACTGGTCACAAAATGTTGGGGAAGCTCCTTTAACACGTTCTTTCCAGATTGGTCTTCTGTAGCTGGTTGTGTGGCATTGTGTTCTTTGAAGCTGACACAGGTGTAAAGTTGTAAT